GTACAACCTATATATATATATATATATATATATATATAAAGAGAGAGAGAGAGAGAGAAATGTATACAAAGAGGCCATTTACTTTTTGAAAATGATTTGATAGGGCAACAACTTTATTAAAGTAAGTAAATCTTCACCTCATGACCCATCGAAAAAAACATTTACATCAATCATCTCAACTTGAACATTATAGTTGTGAAAAAAAACAAAAAGGATTTCAAGCCTTAAAAACAACGTATATTGTAACAAATTATCTATACCGCCTATTTTGCCTTAAAAGTAAGTGTTTAAATATTTGTAATATCTATACCATTTTTTGAGTTTTAAATTTTATTTTTGGGGTTGAAAATTGATTTTAGAGCCATCATAGAGATTTTTGTTGCCAAAAGTGCTTTCTGGACGAGGATTTGAAGCGAGCTTTATTTTGTTTTCATAAATTTAGGCCTTATAGAAACTACATCTTTTAGTTTTAGTGCAAGGAGGTCACAATCACCCTTGCTCATTAGATTTAAATCAGGTTGTTGTGAGCATGTCATAGGCTAGACTCAAAGTTCCAAAAAGAAAAATGGAAATCTCAAACTTTGCGACACATCTTAAGTCATCCAATTTGACATCTAATAGCTAGGAGTAATAATAACCTCCTTATAAGAAAGATAAATGGCCTATATGAGACTATTTATCATTAAAATGAGGTCACAATCACTCTTAGTCGTTAGATGTTAAATTAGATGGTTTGGAGTATGTCACGAAGTTTGAGAAATATTTTTTTAATTTAAAATCTATCAGTAATCCTTCTAGAAGTAAGGTTGCAATAATCCAAACTATCCATTTTTATTTGGATGATGTAGATTTAATATTATATTAAAAGACATGTCCCTTTTTAAAACTATTAGAAAATACTTCAAATTTAAATCGTCTATCTAAAATTGATGGTGTAGAATATTGCAACATTACTTCTGCAAGTAAAGCTACAACCTTGTATATATAGAGAGAGCTAGAACTTTTGATCTAGCATTAACAGTTGCAAAACCTAACCAACTAAGCGATTCGAGCTTAATAAAATATTAATAACATATTATATAATATATAATGTCCAAATCATTTATTCTGAACGAGAATTGATACCATATAGAATCATTCTTAATTCAGATCGGTGATTTTTCAATGATTGATTTCTCAATTCCTTCCTTTT